GAAGAAGAAGATTCTGGAGATGATGGTGAGTTAACAACACTCAAAAAGACTACAAGCACTTCAGGTCAAAAAAGGTGTCACCAAATTTGAACACTATACAGGAAGTCAACAAAGAATAGTTAATCAACACAGAACTAGTGTTATTTGTTGCAACATGCTGATGGATATACTGAAGATGGGATCCGAGCGCCTATGGACTTGGTCCATGTGCAGGCAGTGAAGATAATCTGTTGAGTAACTAACTAACTAACTAACTAACTAACTAACTAACTAACTAACTAACTAACTAACTAACTAACTAACTAACTAACTAACTAACTAACTAACTAACTAACTAACTAAGTAACTAACTAAGTAACTAAGTAACTAACCAACCAACCAACCAACCAACCAAACCAACCAGACTGACCGACCGACCGACCGACCGACCGACCGACCGACCGACCGACCGACCGACCCACCCACCCACCCACCCACCCACCCACCGACCCACCCACCCACCGAGCCACCGACCAACCGACCCACCAACCAACCAACCAACTAACTAAACTAACTAAACTAACTAAACTAACTAACTAACTAACTAAATAGATGACTAAACTAAACTATGTGAATTGCGTCTTTGTCGAGCATTTGTACACTGTCCATTCTAAAATACTTAATTTTTTGAGATAATTGCTGCTGATGCCTCAACTTGGTGTTGTGAACTCTTAACTTGGTGTTGTGAACTCTTCACTTAGTGTTGTGAACTCTTAACTTGGTGTTGTGAACTCTTCATCTGGTGTTGTGAACTCTCTGTTTGGTGTTGTGAACTCTTAATTTGGTGTTGTGAACTCTCTGTTTGGTGTTGTGAACTCTTCATTTGGTGTTGTGAACTCTTCATTTGGTGTTGTGAACTCTCTGTTTGGTGTTGTGAACTCTTCACTGGGTGTTGTGAGCTCTTCACTGGGTGTTGTGAACTCTTCACTGGGTGTTGTGAGCTCTTCACTGGGTGTTGTGAACTCTTCACTGGGTGTTGTGAACTCTTCATTGGGTGTTGTGAACTCTTCACGGTGTTTGAAACTCTTCACTTGGTATTGTGAACTCTTTGCTTACGCTGACTTTGATCCTCAAATAGGTTCTGTTGGCCCATTGTAGGGGAAAAGGGGCGTGGGGGGATAGAATAGACCCACTACCACCTAACAAGCATGTCATAAGAGTCAACTAATGAGAGATGTTTCTTGAAAGTCACAGGGAATTCAACTAAGCCAGATCTGTAAAACAGATGTGCACACAAAACTCACCTTCTGGAACAAGACCTAAGTCCAAAAGGGGATGAACAACCAGAACTTTCAACTTGAGTTTACAGCTGTTGAACGCAAATTAAAAGAAGTGGAAGAAGAAGAAGAAGACTGACTTTAGAATAGGTTATAACTTAGGCAGCGGCCTTTTTCCTCCTGCTCTAAAATCCCTATTGGTCAGTTGGTCATCAGGCCTCTCATGCCAATCTGTTCTGTATTTGACCATCTTCTGCAGCTCCATCCATGCTCTCTGTGTATTATCAACCTCTGTCTTAGACTACCACATGCAGTCTTCTTCATCTGAGATCTCCTGCGGATATTCTGGTTTAAGAAATTTATCCCACCTGTCCAGCCAGGGAATAATTAAAAAAAAAAATAATCAGATGTGTTCCAAGCATGATGAATGAGTGAGAAAAGCATGTATTATCTTTCTAGAATACAGAGATAGGTTAGTTGTGTATCCTTTACAGGACATTGCAGAACCACTCAGGTGTGGTTTTTCTAGGCAAATTTATATCCAGTAGTTTGCTATTTCTTTCTGGACGGTCGGTTTTCTTGATACCACTGTCAAAACCAACGCAAGGTGCATGGCCTGCAGCTGGGATCAAACCTGGCATCCCGGGATTACGAAGCGTTCGCATCGACTTAGCCCTAGAGCCGACATGCAGAGATAGAGGAGTAACAAAAAGATATACAATTTAAAAGAAAAAAATTAAAAGAAAAATAGTGCTAAAATCAGCCATATAGTTCATTAAAGAGCAACAAATGAAATGGTTTGGCCATCTGATGAGAATGCCAATTTTACTGACTGCAACATAGAGCAACAGTGGATAAATGTAATGAACACAGAGGCAAGTGAATGCATTACTATCAAGCTCTACCTAAGAGTAAAAAACCTTTACAATGCATCACAGAGAGCACACAAATGTGCTTACCTCTCACCCAACATTTCACTTAAGTAACTGACAGAAACAAATAATGTGAACAAATTTTAAGCTAACTATATGCTTACAATTTTATGATAAGTTTATTGAGATTTTATCATTTTCATATAAATGTATGTTAAACATAGCTTGTATGTTCCCCTCCTACTGAATACTGCAGTTGTCAGTGTTCAACAAATTGGTACGGAATTCACTGTAGGGAGCAGCATAATGATTGTACCGGGGCCTCCCATGCGGAACTATGTGGGCATGGGACATGTGTCAATGAGGACAGGGTCCTGTCTGGACAGGTAATTGTAATAATAAATATACCACTGACATCTTCTTCTTCTTCTATAGGTTCACTGACTGTAAACTCCAGCGTGAAGTTCTTTCATTTGTTTCCCCCACATCTGGACTTTTGTTCTAGAACTTGAAATTTGCATGCACATCCATTTTAAAGATCAAGTTAATTTGTATGCAGACTTCTGGTTTTCTTGCCTCTCAGGCAGTTGCACATCATCTTCAGAAGAAAAATTCCCTAACTAGTTAACTCTTAGGACATGTTTGTTAACTCTTCGAGTCCCAAGGAACGCATCATACATTTATAGGTTCCTACCTAGAAGCCCAATGAACGCATGATGAGCCGATTTGATTACTTTCTTTACTACCCCCTGGGCCTGTGATGCTAAACCCTCTGGGACTCAAAGAGTTAAGAGCTGGTGAGTCTTTTTTTTTGTATCCCACAATGGGGCCCAGGAACCCACATGGGAAACTGCTGGCATAAAACAAGTTGTCTGAATAGTATCCACTCAGGATAAGTGTTGTCAAGTTACAATAGCATTCACTCAGGATAAGTGTTGTCAAGTTACAATAGCATTCACTCAGGATAGGTGTTGTCAAGTTACAATAACATCCACTCAGGATAAGTGTTGTCAAGTTACAATAGCATTCACACAGGATAAGTGTTGTCAAGTTACAAAAGCATCCACTCAGGATAAGTGTTGTCAAGTTACAAAAGCATCCACTCAGGATAAGTGTTGTCAAGATACAATAGCATTCACTCAGGATAAGTGTTGTCAAGTTACAATAGCATTCACTCAGTGTAATTGTTGTCAAGTTACAATAGCATTCACTCAGGATAAGTGTTGTCAAGTTACAATAGCATTCACACAGGATAAGTGTTGTCAAGTTACAATAGCATTCACTCAGTGTAATTGTTGTCAAGTTACAATAGCATTCACTCAGTGTAATTGTTGTCAAGTTACAATAGCATTCACACAGGATAAGTGTTGTCAAGTTACAGTAGCATTCACTCAGGATAAGTGTTGTCAAGTTACAATAGCATTCACTCAGTGTAATTGTTGTCAAGTTACAATAGCATTCACTCAGGATAAGTGTTGTCAAGTTACAATAGCATTCACTCAGTGTAATTGTTGTCAAGTTACAATAGCATTCACTCAGGATAAGTGTTGTCAAGTTACAATAGCATTCACACAGGATAAGTGTTGTCAAGTTACAATAGCATTCACTCAGTGTAATTGTTGTCAAGTTACAATAGCATTCACTCAGGATAAGTGTTGTCAAGTTACAATAGCATTCACTCAGTGTAATTGTTGTCAAGTTACAATAGCATTCACTCAGGATAAGTGTTATCAAGTTACAATAACATTCACTCAGTGTAATTGTTGTCAAGTTTCAATAGCATTCACTCAGGATAATTGTTGTCAAGTTACAATAGCATTCACTCAGGATAAGTGTTGTCAAGTTACAATAGCATTCACTCAGTGTAATTGTTGTCAAGTTACAATAGCATTCACTCAGGATAAGTGTTATCAAGTTACAATAACATTCACTCAGTGTAATTGTTGTCAAGTTTCAATAGCATTCACTCAGGATAATTGTTGTCAAGTTACAATAGCATTCACTCAGGATAAGTGTTGTCAAGTTACAATAGCATTCACTCAGTGTAATTGTTGTCAAGTTTCAATAGCATTCACTCAGGATAAGTGTTGTCAAGTTACAATAGCATTCACTCAGGATAAGTGTTGTCAAGTTACAATAGCATTCACTCTGTGTAATTGTTGTCAAGTTACAATAGCATTCACTCAGGATAAGTGTTGTCAAGTTACAATAGCATTCACTCAGGATAAGTGTTGTCAAGTTACAATAACCGTCACAGAGACTTGTAAAACTGTCGACTCATACTGTTCCCTCTCATGAAATATTTCTCTTCATTGGCAATTGGCAAAATCAAGCAGAGAGTTCACAAAACCAAGTAGAGAGTTCACAACAATGAGCAGAGAGTTCACAACACCAAACAGAGAGTTCACAACACCAAACAGAGTCATTCAACATTCTTTCTGTCTTCCTTGCCTCTCTTGCTCAATACATATTTTCACAATAAAGCTAATTTCTAAATTCCATGTCTACCATTGACTTGTTTAGTAAGTTTCATTTGTCTTTTCCTTGTGGTTTAATGAATCATCTTGTAGCACGTGGAACTGTCAAAATCTTGGTTTTCTATCCAACAATTCCTTAATATTCGTTTGTCAATGATAATCTTAACATTCTTTCTGTTCATGAAATTCTCAACAGTATTTCCTGTCTATAATATTTTCAACATTCTACTGTACCAATAAAAATGTCAGTATTCTCTATGTATGAAATTCTCAATCTTTCTGGTCCATGATCGGGTCAACATATCCTGAAACAGTTGTTATATCTGGCACAGGATGCCATGCAGAAATTACAACAAAAATCGTCATGGCAAAAGTGGCTTCTAATAAGTTGCAAAAGATTCTGACCAATAGGAAGATTTCACAGTGAGCAATAGAGTGTTACAATTTCAAGTATAACCTGCGTTGTTGTATGCATGTGAAATATGGATAATAAGCAAACAAGCTGAACAACATTTACTAGCAGTGGAGATGTAGTTTCTGAGAAGAATACAGAGAATATAATGGAGTGATATAAAAAATAAATAAATGGAGCAGTCCTCATCGGGACAGATGAAAGTCGTAAACATTTTAGAACAATTAGACATAGACAGTCACTGTTTTATGGAGATGTTATGAGATGGAATGGACTCGAGAACTTGATAACAACTGGCAGGATTGATGGACAGAGAGCAAAAGGAAGGTGAAGAGACAAATGCCTACATGGCTTGGCTACATAGATGGAAAATCTGGGTGCGGGTAGCTGAGTGTGACAAAATATATTGACCTGATCCATGGTTTTGACAATCATGTGAAACATGACAGCCTACACTTACTGGCACAGTACCTCATGTTATTGATGATTATAAACATCGTCTCTGTCCATGCCTTCAACATTCTTGTCTGTCCACGGTATTCTTAACATTCTTGTCTGTCCACAGTATTCTCAACATTCTTGTCTGTCCACAGTATTCTCAACATTCTTGTCTTTCCACAGTTTTCTCAACATTCTTGTCTGTCCACAGTATTCTCAACATTCTTGTCTGTCCACAGTATTCTCAACATTCTTGTCTGTCCACTGTATTCTCAACATTCTTGTGTGTCCACAGTATTCTCAACATTCTTGTCTGTCCACAGTATTCTCAACATTCTTGTCTTTCCACAGTTTTCTCAACATTCTTGTCTGTCCACAGTATTCTCAACATTCTTGTCTGTCCACAGTATTCTCAACATTCTTGTCTGTCCACTGTATTCTCAACATTCTTGTCTGTCCACAGTATTCTCAACATTCTTGTCTGTTCACAGTATTCTCAACATTCTTGTCTGTCCACAGTATTCTCAACATTCTTGTCTGTCCACAGTATTCTCAACATTCTTGTCTTTCCACAGTTTTCTCAACATTCTTGTCTGTCCACAGTATTCTCAACATTCTTGTCTGTCCACAGTATTCTCAACATTCTTGTCTGTCCACAGTATTCTCAACATTCTTGTCTGTCCACAGTATTCTCAACATTCTTGTCTGTCCACAGTATTCTCAACATTCTTGTCTTTCCACAGTTTTCTCAACATTCTTGTCTGTCCACAGTATTCTCAACATTCTTGTCTGTCCACAGTATTCTCAACATTCTTGTCTGTCCACTGTATTCTCAACATTCTTGTCTGTCCACTGTATTCTCAACATTCTTGTCTGTCCACAGTATTCTCAACATTCTTGTCTGTTCACAGTATTCTCAACATTCTTGTCTGTTCACAGTATTCTCAACATTCTTGTCTGTCCACAGTATTCTCAACATTCTTGTCTGTCCACAGTATTCTCAACATTCTTGTCTTTCCACAGTTTTCTCAACATTCTTGTCTGTCCACAGTATTCTCAACATTCTTGTCTGTCCACAGTATTCTCAACATTCTTGTCTGTACACTGTATTCTCAACATTCTTGTCTGTCCACAGTATTCTCAACATTCTTGTCTGTTCACAGTATTCTCAACATTCTTGTCTGTTCACAGTATTCTCAACATTCTTGTCTGTCCACAGTATTCTCAACATTCTTGTCTGTCCACAGTATTCTCAACATTCTTGTCTGTCCACAGTATTCTCAACATTCTTGTCTGTCCACTGTATTCTCAACATTCTTGTCTGTCCACAGTATTCTCAACATTCTTGTCTGTCCACAGTATTCTCAACATTCTTCTGTCTGTCCACAGTATTCTCAACATTCTTGTCTGTCCACAGTATTCTCAACATTCTTGTCTGTCCACTGTATTCTCAACATTCTTGTCTGTCCACAGTATTCTCAACATTCTTGTCTGTCCACAGTATTCTCAACATTCTTGTCTGTCCACTGTATTCTCAACATTCTTGTCTGTCCACAGTATTCTCAACATTCTTGTCTGTCCACTGTATTCTCAACATTCTTGTCTGTCCACAGTATTCTCAACATTCTTGTCTGTCCACAGTATTCTCAACATTCTTGTCTGTCCACAGTATTCTCAACATTCTTGTCTGTCCACAGGATTCTCAACATTCTTGTCTGTCCACCGTATTCTCAACTTTCTTCTCAAAAGTCAGTGTTGCGTTTATAATGATAATAAGTAGATATTTTTTGACTGTGTGGGTCCAACAGCCCAAGTATCGATGTATCTGTGAAACGGGATGGACAAAGTCCACCTCTGGCCCAGCATGTGACAAGGATATTGATGAATGTGCAACTGGGACTCACTGTTCCCGAGACCCACAAGTTCAGTGCATGAATACAGATGGATCATTCGCCTGTGGCTCCTGTCCCTCAGGTAATCTAGACTTCTTTTTTCAGCATGTCAAGCCTTCAAAGTTCATTGCGGCAGATATAACCAGCCCCCATTAATCTATGAGGTTCATTGCTGCAGATATAACCAGCCCCCATTAATCTATGAGGTTCATTGCTGCAGATATAACCAGCCCCCATTAATCTATGAGGTTCATTGCTGCAGATATAACCAGCCCCCATTAATCTATGGGGTTCATTGCTGCAGATATAACCATCCCCCATTAATCTATGAGGTTCATTGCTGCAGATATAACCAGCCCCCATTAATCTATGAGGTTCCTTGCTGCAGATATAACCAGCCCCCATTAATCTATGAGGTTCCTTGCTGCAGATATAACCAGCCCCCATTAATCTATGAGGTTCATTGCTGCAGATATAACCAGCCCCCATTAATCTATGAGGTTCCTTGCTGCAGATATAACCAGCGCCCATTAATCTATGAGGTTCATTGCTGCAGATATAACCAGCCCCCATTAATCTATGAGGTTTTTTGCTGCAGATATAACCAGCCCCCATTAATTTATGAGGTTCCTTGCTGCAGATATAACCAGCCCCCATTAATCTATGAGGTTCCTTGCTGCAGATATAACCAGCCCCCATTAATCTATGAGGTTCCTTGCTGCAGATATAACCAGCCCCCATTAATCTATGAGGTTCATTGCTGCAGATATAACCAGCCTCCATTAATCTATGAGGTTCCTTGTTGCAGATATAACCAGCCCCCATTAATTTATGAGGTTCATTGCTGCAGATATAACCAGCCCTTAATAATCTATGAGGTTCCTTGCTGCAGATATAACCAGCCCCCATTAATCTATGAGGTTCCTTGCTGCAGATATAACCATCCTCCATTAATTTATGAGGTTCATTGCTGCAGATATAACCAGCCCCCATTAATCTATGAGGTTCCTCACTGCAGATATAACCAGCCCCCATTAATCTATGAGGTTCCTTGCTGCAGATATAACCATCCTCCATTAATTTATGAGGTTAATTTCTGCAGATACAACCAGCCTCAGTTCATCTGTGAGGTTCATTGCTGCAAATATAACCAGCCTGCATTCATCTATGAGGTTTATTGCTGCAGATACAACCAGCCTCCATTCATCTGTGTGACTGGTCTTCACTTTCCAGTTGGTGACTTAAAGTGTTTGTAGATCTGTCTGGATATCATCTCTCCATATTCTTCTTGGTTGGCCTCATGGTCTACTCCTGTTCAGTCCTCTTGTGTATACAGTATTTCTCTCTGTAATCTGCCATTCTCTTTTTATGTCCCAGACATTTCATTGGCAATTTAAACAGCTTATGAATTTCATTGTTGCTTTTCACTATCCATTCTCCACTGTTTGCATCTTAGATGATTAAAATAATTCACTGTAAGGACTGTTCTCAAAAAAAATGTGTAATATGACTACATTTATCTCTTTTAGTTGTGCTCCATGTTTCAGAGTAATACGAGTTACAGTGTCTGCCAACTTACTGTTTCACTGAGAGCTAAGCTAAAGGCTGTATCTACTTGCTGTATCTACTTACTGTATCACTGAGCTAAGGTCTTACCTACTTACTGTATTACTCAGCTAAAGTCTTACCTTCTTACTGTATCACTTAGTTGAAGTCTGTACCTACTTAGTGTATCACTGAGCTAAAGTCTGTGCCTACTTAGTGTATTACTGAGCTAAAGTCGGTGCCTACTTACTGTATCACTGAGTTGAAGTCTGTACCTATTTAGTGTATCACTGAGTTGAAGTCTGTACCTACTTACTGTATCATTGAGCTAAAGTCTGTACCTACTTTCTGTAGCTCTGAGCTAAAGTCTGTACCTACTTACTGTTTCACTGAGCTAAAGTCTGTACCTACTTACTGTATCATTGAGCTAAAGTCTGTACCTACTTACTGTATCATTGAGCTAAAGTCTTATTTACTTACTGTATCACTGAGCTAAAGTATGTACCTACTCACTGTATTACTTAGTTGAAGTCTGTACCTTCTTACTGTATCAATGAGAAAAAAGTTATGGAATATGTAAAAGAGCAGACAAGATATAACCTACAGTCTTTTCTAGAGTTCTGTATCTAGGGTTGTTTCATCTGGTAATAGATTTTCCTGATCTATATTTTGGGGCTGATAAGACAGTCAGCAGTAACTGGTGATCCATTGGGATACAGTTTTACGGTACCATGAGTGAGTGGGTGAGTGAGGGAGGGGGAGTATTTGAGTGAGTGAGTGAGTGAGTGAGTGAGTGAGTGAGTGAGTGAGTGAGTGAGTGAGTGAGTGAGTGAGTGAGTGAGTAAGTGAGTGAGTGAGTGAGTGAGTGAGTGAGTGAGGAAGTGATCTCTGTTAGGTTCATTGTGGAAATATGTGATCATATATAACCCATGTGAGTAATTTTTTGACAGGTTACACCGGCAATGGGTACATCTGTAATGACAAGGATGAATGTGCCGAAAACAATGGTGGATGTTTCACTTCTCCACCGGTGGAATGTATCAACACTATAGGGTCCAGAGCTTGTGGGCCATGTCCATCAGGTCAGTGTTGTGTCCCTGCCCTTTAGTGTTGTAACTATACACTCATGCCTACATCCTCATTGCAATCAATCAGTGGGTCCTTCACAGCAGATCCTTCACAGCATATCCTTCACAGCAGATCCTTTACAGCAGATCTTTTACAGCATATCTTTCACAGCAGATCCTTTACAGCAGATCCTACACAACAGATCCTTCACAGCAGATCCTTCACAGCAGATCCTTCACAGCAGATCCTTCACAGCAGATCCTTTACAGCAGATCCTTTACAGCAGATCCTTCACAGCGGATCCTTTACAGCAGATCCTTCCCAGCAGCTCCTTTACAGCAGATCCTTTACAGTAGATCCTTCACAGCAGATCCTTTACAGCAGACCCTTCACACCAGATTTTTTACAGCAGATCCTTTACAGCAGATTCTTTACAGAAGGCCACTCTCATCACAGAACACCTCAGTCTCTTCTCTCTAGTGAGTTCTCAGCCCTGTGTGCTTTCATAGCCAATGAATCTGTAGTATCTTGTATCCACCTTCATGGAAGTCTGCCTCTGCCTATTTTTATGAAAGGTGCCCTCCATCACCATTCTCTACAATAAATTTGCCTACAACAAACTTTTAGTGCAAATAAAAGAAACAGGATCAAAAATTACAATATCAGGATAGAATTTGGGACATAACTAGTGCTAAGCTACTTCAAGAGGCAACAGATCAAATGGTTTGGACCTGTCTCACACCTGATAGTGCACTGTAGACAGTTCTGTCACTTAGACACAACAGAAGCAGAACTGTTTGAACCTGTCTCACACCTGATAGTGCACTGTAGACAGTTCTGTCACTTAGACACAACAGAAGCAGAACTGTTTGGACCTGTCTCACACCAGATAGTTCACTGTAGACAGCTCTGTCACTTAGACACAACAGAAGCAGAACTGTTTGGACCTGTCTCACACCAGATAGTTCACTGTAGACAGCTCTGTCACTTAGACACAACAGAAGCAGAACTGTTTGGACCTGTCTCACACCAGATAGTTCACTGTAGACAGTTCTGTCACTTAGACACAACAGAAGCAGAACTGTTTGGACCTGTCTCACACCTGATAGTTCACTGTAGACAGTTCTGTCACTTGGACACAACAGAAGCAGAACTGTTTGGACCTGTCTCACACCAGATAGTTCACTGTAGACAGTTCTGTCACTTAGACACAACAGAAGCAGAACTGTTTGGACCTGTCTCACACCTGATAGTTCACTGTAGACAGTTCTGTCACTTGGACACAACAGAAGCAGAACTGTTTGGACCTGTCTCACACCAGATAGTTCACTGTAGACAGTTCTGTCACTTAGACACAACAGAAGCAGAACTGTTTGGACCTGTCTCACACCTGATAGTTCACTGTAGACAGTTCTGTAACTTGGACACAACAGAAGCAGAACTGTTTGGACCTGTCTCACACCTGATAGTTCACTGTAGACAGTTCTGTCACTTAGACACAACAGAAGCAGAACTGTCTGGATCTGTCTCACACCTGATAATTCACTGTAGACAGCTCTGTCACTTAGACACAACAGAAGCAGAACTGTTTGGACCTGTCTCACACCTGATAGTTCACTGTAGACAGTTCTGTCACTTAGACACAACAGAAGCAGAGCTGTTTGGACCTGTCTCACACCAGATAGTTCACTGTAGACAGTTCTGTCACTTAGACACAACAGAAGCAGAACTGTTTGGACCTGTCTCACACCAGATATTTCACTGTAGACAGTTCTGTCACTTAGACACAACAGAAGCAAAACTGTTTGGACCTGTCTCACACCAGATAGTTCACTGTAGACAGCTCTGTCACTTAGACACAACAGAAGCAAAACTGTTTTGACCTGTCTCACACCAGATAGTTCCCTGTCAACAGCTCTGTCACTTAGACACAACAGAAGCAGAATTGTTTGGACCTGTCTCACACCAGATAGTTCACTGTAGACAGCTCTGTCACTTAGACACAACAGAAGCAGAACTGTTTGGACCTGTCTCACACCAGATAGTTCACTGTAGACAGCTCTGTCACTTAGACACAACAGAAGCAGAACTGTTTGGACCTGTCTCACACCAGATAGTTCACTGTAGACAGCTCTGTCACTTAGACACAACAGAAGCAAAACTGTTTGGACCTGTCTCACACCAGATAGTTCACGGTCGACAGCTCTGTCACTTAGACACAACAGAAGCAGAACTGTTTGGACCTGTCTCACACCAGATAGTTCACTGTAGACAGTTCTGTCACTTAGACACAACAGAAGCAGAACTGTTTGGACCTGTCTCACACCAGATAGTTCACTGTAGACAGTTCTGTCACTCAGATACAACAGAAGCAGAACTGTTTAGACCTGTCTCACACCAGATAGTTCACTGTAGACAGCTCTGTAACTTAGACACAACAGAAGCAGAATTGTTTGGACCTGTCTCACACCAGATAGTTCACTGTAGACAGCTCTGTCACTTAGACACAACAGAAGCAGAACTGTTTGGACCTGTCTCACACTAGATAGTGCACCGTAGACAGTTCTGTCACTTAGACACAACAGAAGCAGAACTGTTTGGACCTGTCTCACACCAGATAGTTCACTGTAGACAGTTCTGTCACTTAGACACAACAGAAGCAGAACTGTTTGGACATGCCTCACACTAGATAGTGCACTGTAGACAGCTCTGTCACTTAGACACAACAGAAGCAGAACTGTTTGGACCTATCTCACACTAGATAGTGCACCGTAGACAGTTCTGTCACTTTGACTCAACAGAAGCAGAACTAGAGGTGGACCACACAAGTTATTGATAGATGGAATATCAGAGACCAAAAATACTGTAATCTACATAGTACACACCCAGGCCTGTGGCAGGTGCCTCTTCAAATCCTGACACTGACAGGCATAACAGGACTAGAGAAAAGCAAAACTAAACACTGTGCAGTGGGAAAGATTACACACTTGGAGAAATCAATGCAATGAAGACGCATATCAACCAGGGTTTTGAAATATCACTAGACAAACATGTTGAGAATTAATCAACTACACTGTCAATGAGATGCTTTCTGCACTAGCCCCAAAACCAAATTTTCTTACACTTGAAATGAGAGACAGATGAGAAGCACACAGAGCACTCAAAAGCTGTCGTGCAACTCTCATGACATTTAGTCTATCAACACACATCAAGTCTTATCCGTCAACTCTCATGACATTTAGCCTATCAACACACATCAAGTCTTATCTGTCAACTCTCATGACATTAAGTCTATCAACACACATCAAGTCTTATCTGTCAACTCTCATGACATTAGGTCTATCAACACACATCAAGTCTTATCTGTCAACTCTCATGACATTTAGCCTATCAACACACATCAAGTCTTATCTGTCAACTCTCATGAAATTAAGCCTATCAACACACATCAAGTCTTATCTGTCAGAGCATGCACCTCAGCCATTGACTTTTATTACAATACATAAAGAACAGTTAGTTGGTTAGTTAGTTAGTCATTATGGTTCCGGCATCACAGCAAATGAGCTTGGACCATAATTGCTCAACTGCCTATGCCAGTGATTCCAGTCACAAACTGAGTCAGATACACTGTTTACTTCAAGTGAATGCCCTAGCTATACAGTGTCCTCAGTCAGCAAAACACACACAATTTGATCTGGCAAACCATAAGGTGCATGCCTCCTTAAACACACTGCGAGACCAGGCTTCATCGCTGAAAATCAACTTCATTCCACGAATAGCTGGGCGATGAGTAGATTAAAACTATTCCTGATCATTCTCCACATGTCCTTGACCAAGTTGCAGCCACGCCCAGCAAATAAATAGCAGCTATAGCACACGCCTTGTCCCAGGAACACAACGAAGAAAAATACATCACCCATCATTGCCATTATGTACGAATCTGGAACTCAGTCAATAATCCATAATCACAGCTCATAGTGCCACCAGGAGCATTAACCCAGTAGCTCCGGCTGCAGACCAGACTCCCACAATTTTGCAACATTGAAACTGTAGAAGAAATGGCGACGAGAACCGTCAACATAAGCCAAGTTCTCAACCGTCATCCATTCCCTATCAATGTCGGAACCGGAAGTCCATGAAGACCAGTAGTGATCTTAAAGGCTGCTTGCGTTACACCTACCCCATCATAATCTGCCCAGGCTGTTTTAAAATCGCCGCTCATATTTGGGACCTCTGGCTGCTTCCAGTGTTACTGAGTCTGATGTCACAGTGGTGTACATTTTAAAGAGGGGATAGAAGAAGAAGAGAAGATATAAAAGTAGAGAGAGAGAGACAAGAAGAAATAATAGTTAAAGGATGTATAAGAGGACAATAGGTTCTCCTGTGTGGAGAGTGTAGTAATGAGTCTACACCCCAAACGATCAGGTAATAGTCAGTGGAGGTCTTATGAAGGAGAAAGTAGATATATAGTAAAGTGGTGGTGGTATAAAGACTACAGAGACTAACAATAATAGTACCACTCCTATACTCAACAAACTAACGATGGAATAAAAGAATAACAACTAACAATCATGTTTATTAGGAAACAGCATTACAAAGTCGTCTATCTCATGTTCCACAACCGACAGATGTTATATTATGTTATAAACAGAACGTCCTCACACTATAAAACTCAGCAACTGACAGCAGAATCCACTCAACGATAAACTAGCAAATGACGCCTAGAATATCCTTCATTGCTCTACAAATAATAAGCCACATAACGCCTACAATCTAGCCATCTGTTCTATTTCCAAACACCGACTACCATCTAACCATACTGCTGATTGCAGTCCAAAGACCAGCAAACCAATAGCCAAATACCGACTACCATCTAGCCATACTGCTGATTGCAGTCTAGATACCATCTACCAGCCAACCCGGCACACCATGACAGAAACTGCCATGTCACATAACATGAAGCAATATTTCGTGCATTATCTGGCAAGTCACAAAACAGAAGTATGGACTTAGCTCCATCGTAGCGACATGATCAGAATG